TTTTTTTTTTTTTATCTAACTATAATCTAAACTAAATGCTAAAAAACACAAAATCAAATAAAAATTCAATAAACAGAATTATAGCAGAAATACTGGAAAAATCTTAGCGTATATGGGTTGAGGCTTTGAAAATTGTTTTGGACAACAGCCTTTAGGCCAAAAAGGTTGAGAACTACTGCATTACTGTTGAATACTGAATGATGATGAGGGTTCAAAATGTTTATCTTTACAGCTAACATTACCTTGCACTAATGCTACTAATTTTCTTTGGTTTATTTTGTTTTCATGCTATACCTTCTTTCCAGTGGGAACACTGCCAGTGAAGGACACTTTGGCCACCATGGGATGGTGACACAGAAGTCCTCCAGTCTCGGCTCCTCCTTGTACCACATTAAAGAGTCCATCTGGGACACCAGCCTCTTTGTAGATCTCTGCCAACATGACTGCTGTCACTGGGGTCATGGGAGATGGTTTAAACACCATGGCATTTCCTAAGAGGAGAAGATGTTTCCATAAGAGAGAGAAACGGACAAGGGGGGGGGGAACAAGAAAAGGATGGAGCACCAAAATCCAGCCACAAATTACAGATACATAGAGCAATCTTCTCATACCACAGGCCATAGCTGGGGCTGACTTCCAGGCAGCTATCTGGAATGGGTAGTTCCAAGCTCCAATGCCAACACACACTCCAAGTGGCTCCCTTCTGGTATAGGCAAAAGAACCTCCTGGAAGCTGTATATGCTGGCCTGAGTATATAAGGACCATTCTTAGATATGATGTATAAATATTTACATTTTTTGCTATTTTTTTTTAGACCAGCCACCTTGTCGAGTTGATTAACCAGTATCCAAGCCTACCTGACAAAGTGGGGGCAATGCCAGCATAGTACTCAATACACTGCCAAGCAACGTCAATATCCACCTGAGCCTCAGTGATGGATTTGCCATTGTTGGCCACTTCTGCGCTCGCAATTTCATCTCTGCGCTCCTGCATGCAAGAAGAGAAGTTTGCTAATTGGTAGAATCATACAACTAATAATCAACATCACAACATCATTTCCCTGCAGAATCATAAGTGATGTAGTTTTGCACCAGCAATTTTGTTGTTGAACATTATTTAAAATATAAGTTCAGTATATACCATCGATCAACAAGCTTGGAGTGTACAGTACGTCTGTTTTAAAACTGTACAAGTTATCATTAAAAAGCAATTCCCCTATGTAATAAATGAATCGGATTTTTCCTTCCGGACTGTTGCACTATTGACTACCATGTTCATTGGATAATCTTTAGAAGCATTACATGCACTTACTCTAATAATTCTGGCAGCCTCCAGCATGATCCGGGCCCTCTCCATTCCTGATAATTTGCTCCATTTTAGGTATGCAGAATGAGCACTTTTTATGGCCTCATCTACCTCCTCCTCTCCGCAGGGAATCATATCACACAGCACACGACCTGGGAACAGAACACTGAGTGGAGTACATGCATTGAACATGTTACAGGAAGGAAGGGCTGTTTGTGAGCACATCTTTTTGTTAAGTTCCTACATTAAATTAAAATAGTTAAGGATTTTCAGATTTAGAATTAACATACCGGTTTCAAAGTATTGTTCCTATAATTGACTACTGAGGTGTGAGGCAACAGACTGCAGGGTAATTATAGTAAATCAATAACTCAATGCACAGCCAATGCACATTGTGAACTTTTATAAAGATGCAACAGCACAACAGCAACATAAATAGCAATTAAATGGCCTTCGACTGGCAGATCAATGTGTTCCTTTTCTGAGATGGTCCTCACTACAGAACACAAGATCCAGGGGGCCAACTCCTCCTACCTTACATATACCTAAACCTACCCGTCTCCACCCCCAGATCCCTAAACCCACCCATCTCCACCCCTAAACCTACCAATCTCCACCTCCTAGATGTGGATCCAACCACGCCCCCTGGATCTTGTGTTCTGCAGTCAAGTATAGGTCTCTGCAGGAGTAATGAGTAAAAAGTAATGGGAGTTACCAGATCGGGCGTTTTTAGACCATGTTTCCTGATTGGCTGACGTCATAGTGACGGTAGGTGTAGGGGTGGGGTATCATTTTGATTGCATGATTGAGAAACACCCTGCAGTTTGAAAACACCCACAAATTCAGAAACGCCCACTTTTGCTCTGCAGAGACCTCAATCTCTCTGCAGTGAGGGGCTACTGCCTTTTCTCTTCAATTCAGTAGGACGAACTGAGTACTGTATGAAATGCGGAGTGTGTATATGAGGACATTAACTGTGACAAGATGATTGACAGACAGTTTACAGTGACAGGATGCACGTAAACATATAACAAAATAGTAAACTAGATAATTCCGCAAGTAACTGCAATTGCATGGCGAAAAAGATGGCGACAAAGAGGCAAAACTTACAGACTGCAGCTTTAAAAGTAGATCACATCGACTAATACATAAGTATATCTCAGCCTCATATATCATAAAAAGTCTGACATGGTGTTGTTTAATTCCTTTTCTTTATAGATTTTTTTAATTGCATTTTTACTTCCAGAACCATATTGCTGCACTCTACTGCTATATTGTCAACTCTGTAGGTTAAATAACAACAAAAAAGGTGCATTCTTTTGTGTCATTTAAATGACACTTGAGTAAAAACAAATTCCCCAAAATAATACCTAAGTGTCATATTTAAGCAAAAATACTCAACAGTTTTACACCCTGACAAATAATGACTTGAGAGATTTGAAAACTTTTAAAAGCTAACCTTATTTTATTTTTTTTTATTTATTTATTTATTTATTTTTTTTTTAAAGGATGGAAAGGTTTAACAGAAAAGATTAAATGGAGTTTAGTTTAGTGGTTCAGGTTGAAATAATTGCAAGGGGGTAATCATTATGGTTAAAGGTTTAGAACAAACCCTAACAAGAATGTTTGAGAAAAATCAATACCTTTACAAGCACTGTAATTAAAGTGGCACATTCTAACTATACTAACTACACTTACACAATTTAGTTTCAGATTTAAAAAAATAACAACAACAACATAAAAACGGAGCACTCTGATCAATTGAATTCAAAACAATTTATTACAGTTTTAAAAATCATACCAGTTGCAGGTTCATATACTGGTTCAGAGTTCTTTGTGTCCTTCGGCTTCACTCTCGCTCCTCCCCAGAAATTCAGCGGCTCCTTCACCACCAAAGCACCGGTGGAAACGTTCTGAAACTCGGGCAGCGACAGAAGCGGTTGCTGAGCCATTCTGGTCTGGCCGGGAACCACGTAAAAATGCTCGGTCAATGTCAGTGCTTATTAGCGATATATTTTTGTTTCCAGTAGTGTCGGTATTAATCGACATGCGTGCAATGCTTATGCAGAGCGTGCAACGTTAATGTTTTAAGCATGCACAGACGTCGAATAATAACTAGTTTGTTGTGCACAGTACACTTTGGCTAATCCTCGTCACTGCCACAACAGGGAAACGCCTCATTACAGGTCATTGAAACAAGAACGCTTCCGATTGCGTGAACATTCACTAATAAGAATGCAGCACTGACTGATCCAAGTTTATGCATTAATTGTACAACGCCAACAGAATGTTAACAGAAATGCATTGCGATGCACTAAACAGTCATTTAAATGCATGTTCCTTACCTTTTCAACATAAGTTGTTTACTGCACAAAAGTAGATCGTTCGCCTTCTATGGTCGTGGAGCGAAAGGCGGACGCCTCCACATTTTTTTCGAATTTAAAGCATGTGGTTGCTCAAGGCATTCCATGAATTGATTACATAAAGGGTGGGTGTGAATGATTTGTGAGTTACCTTAAGCACCGCCTTTAAACCACATTTTTATGGTTTCAACACATTTTTTTGGCCAAAGTTCCAGAAAGCAACAGAAGGCAAGAATTGCGCAACGCATCCAGATATTCATCTTTCGTTTGATGTGCATGATTCTAGTCTTGTTATATTGCCATGAACTGTAAAGGACACTCCGAACCTAAGACAATACAAACAATATACGAGAGTGTATTGCAACAATGTCAGCTCTTTCCAGCTTGAAAGAGAATTTAACTGGGACATAAAAAGCTTTATTACAAGGACATGTCTTCTCAGCTTTTTTGTTCCTGTAGCACACAGCTGTTCTTCTGTGTCTCTCCCTCTCTCACTAGTTATGTACTCGTCAGCACATTTCTTTGTGTTCTGCACTACTAAATTCGGTAACTGGGACATAAAAAGCTTTATTACAAGGAGGACATGTCTTCTCAGCTTTTTTGTTCCTGTAGCACACAGCTGTTCTTCTGTGTCTCTCCCTCTCACTAGTTATGTACTCGTCAGCACATTTCTTTGTGTTCTGCACTACTAAATTCGACAATGAAATGTTGAACGTCAATTCTATAGCATATGTAAAATGTATGCTCTTTGCATACTTACCTAAACAAGCAACCATCCAGACATTATTACTGGTAGATTAACCATCTGTGGCTATATTACAAAAAGTGTATCCTGTGGGGGACAATTGCAGAAGGCTAAAAGTTAAACTTTACTCTGAATTGCAAAACAATGACTCTGGTCTACGCCTTATGCAAACCATTTTACTTTTTTTTTTTTTTTTAAAGAAGAACTGTAAAACTGCTTTCCTAATCATTTTTTTAATCCAGTGCAAATGCAATTTGAACATGAAATAGTGAAATAATAATCATAATAAAAACTACAGAGGAACAAATGCACAAAGGTTTAAGGTCTAAACAAAATTCTTTATTTAACTTAAATAAAACTTTTACAGACAATAAAAAAAGAGAGAGATAAACATTCTAAGAATCCACGGGTCAAACTATTCTCTCAAATTCTAAATATGAACGTTGTATTAATTAATATTGCTTGTAGGTAATCATAAAATTATAATAGTTACAACAAAGAATCATTGCAGCCTTTTGAGCAACATAAAAGTTTACAGAAATGCTTCAGATTGAATTTACATTCAAAACTATCTTTCCTCAAGGAACGTTTTCTGTTAGAAATGTGACTACATATAAATGATAAATTTACCCGATTAAAAAACAACAACAATAAACAAACAAAAAAGACACAATGCACATGACTTCTGTGGTCACCATCAGGTATCGGTAGCTGCACAACCTGACTATCAATCTTTCACATTGAGAGCTGTTTACACAATGTTCAGCTGAGTGTCTGATCTTTTTATGTAGGTATCTCACTGTCTACAAATGTTCATGAAAACTTGGCAGCTTGTGGAGGAGGTCCTAAAAACCCTCCGGCCTGTTTGGTGGCGGCACGGGAGGGGGCGAGACCCAACATCTTCTGGATATTCTGAAAGAACACAAGCATTCAGTGGCAAAGGTTAGGGCATGCATGTATTACATGAATGAACAGTGTCAAAGCCATGTTGACATATTGGCCCCAATTTTAACAGAAGTCTATACAGAGGCGTTTGAAGCGGAAGTGTTACCTAGTACTTTCATGGAAGCATTGATAACACTGATACCTAAAAAGGATAGGGATTTAACTGATTCTGCTCATTTTAGACCAGTAAACCTTATTAATGTGGTCTGTAAGGTGTTGGCAAAAAATTTTGGCTTCACGGTTGGAGAAGGTTCTACCAAGTAGGCTGTAATTCATATGGACCAAGTGGGCTTCATCAAGGGAAGGTCAGCAGCCAGTAATGTGAGAAATCTGATGCTATGCCAATATCTAGAACGTGTCATTCCCATACAGTGACCCAATTTGGCTTTAAATGGATTCCAAAGGGTATGAAGTACCTTGGGGTTAAACTAACTCAAAATTTGGAGGACAAAATAATGTTGAATTATGACCCACTGCAGTAAAAAAATAAAAGATAAAAAATGTGGACAAATAGGAACAGCTGAAACTTTCTCTGTGGGGTAAAGTGAATGTTGTCAAAATGGTTATTGCTCCACAGTTCAATTAAATATCCATGATGATACCTGTGAACATTCTAGACCCTTATCTTTAAAAGATATGATCAAATTATCAAGAATTTTCTATGGGAAGGAATAAGACCCTGGATTAAAATGAGTAAATTGATTTCCCCAAGGGACAAGGGGGGCCTTGGATTACTGGATGTGAGGATGTATAATTTTTGGAAGTATCTGCAGATCAGACACTGTGTCAAGAACAAATTCAAAGTGATAACCCTGTGTATGCCTATCTTAAGTTAGTACGCGAAGCTCAGACTGCTTCTGTGTTACAAATGAATGCCAAGTGTAACTGCAGATACTTGCAATAACCTGAAAACAATATGGCAGAAGGATTTAGGGATTAATATTCATGATAATGACTGGCTGGATATCATATTTAATGTGGGTAAGAACATAAGGGAAGCTAGGTGGAAATTAATTCATCACAAAACAGTACATAGATATTATTATACACCATATATACTTTACAGGATGGGGATAGCTGGAAATAATCTATGCTGGAAATGTAAGGAAGAGGGCATTTATGTACATATGATCTGGGAAAGTTCTTTAGTTAAGCCATTCTGGCGTAAAATTCTGAGATTACTTGAAGCGTGGCTGGGCTTTAATTTACCTGTGGAACCACAACTATGCCTTCTTGGAGATAAATCAGTGGTATCCAACATACATAGCAAAAAATGCATTTACCATTATTAAGATCACAGCAGCCAGGATGATCTTACACAATAGGAAAACTGCCGGAAAACTCTTCCCTCAAAACAGCCATTACATTATTACAACTTGGATCATGCTCCATTCACTCACAAAAATATGGAAGAAATAATATATATGAAAAAAATAGATAAACATTACCTGTCGAATTGACATGGTGCACAGGATGTAGAGGAAGATGAAGGAACAGTCAGTGTAATCTTCACCAAGGAGGTTGCGGTGTGAGAGGCCTTGGATATATGACAACGGGACAAATGGAAGTTTGGCCACAACACGACCATCAAAGCTGAAATGGAAAAAAAAAAGTGAAGTAGTGATTTCAGGTAACTTTAGCAAATCATACCACTATTAACCTACGATATTATTGAACATTTATAACAAAGCGCCTCTGTGATAATGCACTGAATGGGTCAACATACATGGAATTGAACATGCCCATCAAAGCAGTGAAGCAAAAGCCAATGGCAAACATCGATTTCATCCGGACCTGCAATTAAAATATCTTTAACACAATTTCAAAACAAAGTGTAACTTGTTAGACAGCTCACCACATTAACTATGAGAATGAATAAGAAATAACATAAAATAATTATGTTATATAAATTTGAGAACTGCAATAGAAAATATTAGAATACCATAGACAGGTCTCTGTTATTGTTCTTGAGTTTCTCTTCTTGTCTCTCTGTTGAATACAACATTATAGTTTACAGTAATGCTCCATTTATATTGCACAATAACGATTACATTTTTACTAATTGTTAATAATAACAGAAACAAAAACATTTTTTTACTAATTGTCTGTAATAATTATTATTTTACTATTTGTTAATAGTAATAATCATCATCATGATCTACATAAATAATCATAAACAAAAATCATTTTAATGATCTCACCTATTTTTTTCTTCTGTTGACGCCCAGCTGATTCTGTAATCGTCTCTTTCTTTTTCTCCACTGAAACATGTTACAGAATTTTAATCATTGGTCACATGTATTAAATCCATGCAAAGGACAAACATGCCTCGTTCAAATAACTTACGTTTTTTACTTTGTTTTTCAACCTCGGCCTTTAGTCTCTTGTACTTGTCTGTGCGGTACACCAGAACCCATGTTATTCCTGTAGAAACAGAGCAGGGCGAACTGTTATCCAGCACTACAAGAGCTAGTGCGTTTGTCCTGTATTTGCTGAGCTTCGGACATTTTCCTAGGCATTCGCTTACTGATTTCTGACATGCAAAACTCAATTTCAAGGTAGCTTAGCGTGTACATACCTTCCGCTAATAATGCTGTGCAAATAGATATAAACACAATCAGGATCGTATCTGCAAACATTGTGCTCATTTTGGAAAAACGTTTAGGATACTGATAATACTTTGGGTGAGCCACACGCTCTACTGTAGCAGCGTCAGCATTACTGTGATGATATCATCAATGTGCGCCCAGCTTCCTCGTGGGTGCTGAATGCGGTTGCACTATGAAATCATGACTCCACACCTACTAGTGGCAGTGACCCGGCATTATATTTTGGCAGGATAGGTAAATGATGACGAATTGATTAAAACCTATTTTTTTAAACTTTTAAATTATAGTAATGGACATTTGCTCGTGGATTTCAATTGTTTAAGGATGCGATTTAAAAAAAAAAAAAGGATTTAAGATTGCCTTGCATTGTAGTGCACTAGCCTATATAAATTTAATGTATTATTAATTGAACAATTTACTGTTACATGGCCAATTTCATATCCACTGAAACAAATTAAGCAGTAGGGACTATGAATCTGTGCTCTCCTTCAAAATTATTTTTGTAATATGAAAATACTTCATATTCATATCATTATGTATCATATATGATATCATATATCATTATATTGTGTTATATTATAAACAATTCACTCTCTCATATCACAATTTTAGTACAAAAAAATATTAAGTATAAAGGCAAGACTCTAGTATTACCATGTAATTGTTTCAAAGTTTGAAGATTTGATTTTTTAAAAATCCAAACAGTATTTCAACAAATTAAGCAGTAGGGACTATGAATCTGTGCTCTCCTTCAAAATTATTTTTGTAATATGAAAATACTTCATATTCATATCATTATGTATCATATATGATATCATATATCATTATATTGTGTTATATTATAAACAATTCACTCTCTCATATCACAATTTTAGTACAAAAAAATATTAAGTATAAAGACAAGACTCTAGTATACCATGTAATTGTTTAAAAGTTTGAAGATTTGATTTTTTAAAAATCCAAACAGTATTTCTAAAGCTCTAAAATGATTTCATTTTGCTTTCTTATAAATAATAGTATTCAACAGCCGTGTTGTAGCCAATACTCCATCACTGTACCATCAATTTCAAGAGCTGGCGAAACACCATTGCAAAAAATATTGTGGGAAGACATTCCATATGTACATTGTATATATAAATGAAAAGTTATCACTTTTATAAAGTGTTTAAATGAGTGTACCTTGAGTGGAGAGAGCTCTACTAATTCCTACTAACAAATGTAACATCACACACAAACGCTCCAAAGGAAAAGGTTAGACACAATTGAAAGGAAGAGGGAGGAGGAGCGCCGCTGCTTGCCGTGGTAAAAGCAGTCCAGAGCCTCAGTGTGAGTGTGCGCACTGACAGCATGGCTGGAGACAGAGACGGCAAGTTGGGCAATCAAGCCGAAAATGAGCATGTTGTCGGGCAACCTTTCCTCATCGGGGTAGCCGGCGGCACTGCCAGCGGCAAGGTTGGCATTCTGCTTTACCTTACATGAATATTAGTTATCGTTTGTTTTGTGTTTGTCAGAGAGATGAGAGCACACCGACCGCGTGGCTCATTGTCACGGAATCATCAATGTGCACATTTATTTTATTACCCGAGATGGTTTGACATGTCCGATGTAAAAACGGACATATAGACTTTTTGCATTTAAGGAGTGATCTAATTGACTAGTTTATTTATTTGTAAATCAAGTTTAATCATTTAGATGAAAAAAAACTAATAAATAGGGATAGTATTTTTAAAACTGTTATACAGAATATAATAAATACTTCGCTGGTATGTGTCCCTCAAAAACAAGGATGTGGGTCATTTTCCTGATGTAGACAGCTCCCACACACCGTCGCTATGCACTATGGCGATGGTGGACTTACCAACTTATTAATAAGCATTTAATCAGTGTTATTATTTTCACCTAAAATGCTCTAAATCCAGTTTAATTCACTTGCGAAAAGTAACAGGATTGTTATGGATCAGGCGCTGTTGTGTCTAGGAAAATTACGGCTGTCTTTTGTTGTTAGAAAACAGCATGACACTTGCGCCGGATAAATCACCACAATCCCTCCGACATTCCACCAGATTCATTAAAATCCCACCAGCTGTCGAACACCCTAATTACAGTTTTACTTAAGCTAAATATACAACGCGTTGTGAAGAAAGTCTAACTTTGCGGTTATATGTGGATAAAACCTTGTCCGCGCCGGAGGATGTCTTGCGTCTGCTAGGATAACAGTTATGATACAAGCACAAAGACGCACGGTCTCTTTGTTTCATGAGCTAACGGTGTGTGATGATACAAGAGAACGAGATAAAAGTTTATATATGTGTGTGTTTAGCGTTAAACCTAAATAACTACTGAGTTTGGACGATATAGAGGAGTAACTGCGGAGCTTTTGTTGGTTAACGATATTGGGGTCAGCGACACATCATGTGTCACATCTTACCTCATTTACGTGCGTAAAGGCGGCGTGCGTGCGTACGCAGTGATGCGTCAAGCGGCTCCTTCAGTGAAGCCTGTTTGTTTTTGATTAAAAAAAGTTTGTTTTTGATTTGCTTTATTTAAATATTTGTAGATAATATGTTCGTGTTGTATATTTAGAGTAGGTAAATAAATAATATACAGTTAAAAATAAAGGAAAACTAAAAATGGTTAAGGTTACCACGCCATACCTGGTAACAAAATGTTTTAAATGATTATTTTCAATAATATTTTAAATTTTAATTAAATTTTAATTTTAATATATTTAATATTTATGTTACTTTTTTATTTTTATTATTATTATCTATATATTATAATATATATGATATTAAATATAATATATATATATATATATTACTGAAAATGTAAAAAATGAATGACAAAAATGAAATGAATATTTTCAGCCTAGGTATATTACCTGTTGTACTTTGTTTTATTTTATATTTAGCATATATTTATAGCATTAGTGTTGTGTTTGTGCAAGATTATTTATGTTTTATTTATATTACTTATTATGTTTATGTTACTATTGGCCATAGATGCTGGAAAAGACAATTATGATGAAGTTTAAGTCATTATGTGGAATACTATTGCATTTTAAAATTTATTTACATTTTATGTTTTACTGACAACTCTGTTTAGTCATTATTTAAAATGTCTCTGTACATAATGTGTCTGTTCCTTTCTGTTTCCGTTTGATTATCTTGTTTGCTTATGTTGTGACTGCTATATCTCCCAGCTGTCAGGTGTGCAAGTTTCTCTTACCACAGTGCATGGGAGAAATGTGTTATCTAATTTCTCAGTGAAAATGCTTTGACTAGACTTTCTCAAGCAGTAAGTTATCGTGTCTGTGGATGTGCTTGTAGGCATGTTTTGTCCGGAGCTAATATGTTATGCTCTTGGTGTGCTGTTTAAGGACACCAGTTTGTTTGCATCCTGAAACTGCTCAAATAAAGCAGATAATTGACTGAAGCAAGTGTTTCCTTTCTATGTTTAATGCAGCCAGAAACGTCTTTGCGTTGATAACATACATCACAACCCAACCCACTAGGTGCACTTTAGGTAGCATTCGCATTACATTTCTAAACGGCAGCTTTGCTTGTTGGGTGAACAAAAATGCTTGGGAATTAATCAGAGAAATGTTTAGTCAGCAACAGCAGAAGCTGTTTTTTGGCTTCCTGCAAGGTTAGTTTAGGGGCCAGTGACAGGCCAGGCTAGGAGAGATGCCCACTTCACTGCAGATATACTCACTTCTGGGGACCATGGCTTCTTTCTCCTTCCTGCTGTAGGTTGTTATGAGTTTTATAACTTGCTCAGTATCCTCCTGATGATTCAAAGGTAAATGATTGTCTTTCTTTGCCTGTAGGCCATTTAGCATGTGAGCAGGATTAGAGCTTACTTTGGCTGGAGGTTGATGGATCTTGGGCACAGTGTACCAACAAATGTCAAAGAAGTGTTTGAGCTCTTTTTTTTCTTTCTGCAAGGCTTTAACACAGTGGAAAAACATGTAATTATTACATAATATAAATTAGTTTGTGGTGGTGAAGCCGGTGTGATTGGACCTAGTTGAAATGCACTCCAGTTCCTATCATGCACTCCTGCATGAATAAATTGGTAAAGCTTTACAATAATGTCCAATTAGTCAGAACATTAACTAACAATGAGCAATTATTTTTTTTACAGTATTTAATAATTTTAGTTAACATTAGTTAAAAAAATACAGCTGTTCATTGTTAGTTCATGTCAGCACAAGCCCATTAAATAATATTAATATATTTACTAATAAATGCTTTAGAATTATTGCTAGTTCATGTTAAATAATGAAGTTCGTGTTCCATCTAATGTCAATAAATGGAATTTATTGCAAAGTGTTACCAGTAAATCATACAAAAAATACTGCTTTACTGTTCATTGCTCAACATGCTGCTTGTCTAATTGACATGCACATCAGTTGATGTTAACTAAAAGTGCACCATTATATTTAAATGTGGTTCGAGTGTCACCGTCATTGTGGTTTAAGGACCCAGCATATCAAACTGGTGTAACTTTGTGTAGAACCTGGTGCAGGTATTATAAAAACTTTGTTTTCTTGGCTATTATATGTTATTGTGAGGCAAGTAAATGTCTTACAAAACCGTATGCAACAGAAACTTCATGCAGTCCTTGTGTTTGTGCTGTGATTATTTTGTGTGACAGATAGGGTTGCAAAAAGGTGGAAAATTTCCAGTAAATTTCGGAAACATTCCAGAAATTTTGGAAACTTTCCAGGATTTTTTATTTATTTATTTTTTAATATTCCAGGGATTTTTGGAAAGTTTCCGGAAATTTTCCACCCCTTTGCAACCCTACTGACAGAAGACAACATTATTTCCCTAACTCTTAAGTCAGAAATGCATTGTGTTTTGAAAGATATTACAGGTCTTGGAGCAGATCACTGGCTGTTTTTGCTTAATGTATGCTTGGTGTATATGTTTGTAGCTTCTTACACAGGGCCTGGGACAGCTTGGACTGTTTGTGGATTATGCTTTAAATGGATTGAGGGACTGGCACTCAGCATTGCAGCTGGTGAAGGAAAGCTTTGTAAGACATTTGAGCACATACACATAGGTTAGATACAGCAGGGTTTCATCAGACTCCGCAGGATTCAGTTGCATATCCCTGCACTGCCGTCTGTCTTGTGCTTGGCTCTTTATTAACGTGTGGTTGACTCTTAACATGATCTAATGATCTGAACTCATGGCATGTGGTTTTCAGTGTTATTTGATGGAGTTATTCTCACTGTTCTTTCATAATAGCTTTTACTAGTCTGTTTATATATCATATATCAAGTGACTGTGACAGTAAGTTTATTCAGTCCTTTTGGACTTTGTATGTGAATACTTTTTGTATTAAAGTTGTGCTAAAGTATTAATACTTCTCATATCATCATGATTAGGTCAGCTATCTAAGGTACACCATAGACCTTGTGCATTTTAGAGCTGTTTCTCTCTCTTTTCTGCTTGGCTCATCAGGGTGTGTCTCCGTCCTCCATATTGGTCAGATATTACAGAGTATTGAGGGTTTTTTTGGCCCATTAGTAGACTGTCTTTGGAAAATATATCAGTTTTTATGAGGAGAGTCAGTGTACCAGACATTGTCAAGCTGCGGAGAGGTGCAGAAATCTCTCCGTGACGGTGTGAGCAAGCACCTGCTTATGTTTTTCATAACTGCTCATGGTTTGTGTTTTTTTTTACAGGATGTGCCACCTGTGAGTGTGGGTTATACTCCTTGTTCTTTGTTTTGTTTTCTTAACAGGCATATTTATTGTGTCTGCGAAACGAGAACGTGTAGGGATTGAAGAGACGCAGAAGACAGTATCTAAGTCCTGTTGTACAATCACAGAGCCAGTTCTGTTATGTAAAGTTATGTGTTTATGCCTTGAATGGGGGTGGTGTAATTTTGATTTTGACTATAAGGACTCTTTCAGTCATTTTTAGTGATATTTGAATTTAATGTATGTCATTGTTTTATGTCAAAACACCACTTGTTTTTACAAAACACAATTGACAATACTCATAACGTAACCTTGTGAGTTTAAATAGCCAATAGTACAGTTCAGCATAAAACTATATAAATTCTTGGTTCATTCTTGGTTTGTCATGATAAAATTAATGATGTGCAGATCAGTAAGTGTGTTAGATTAATCCAACTGATTTATTGAAAACTACATTTCTTACATTTTATAAACGACTTGCATAAACCTTTTGGAACAAACTAAAAATAAAAAGCACCGAATGCATGTAATGTTTTAAAAGTATGGCCTAGTAAAATGTATGTAACTTTTTTTTTTTTTTTTGCAGCTAATGTTGTAAATAATGTGACTATAAAATATCATTAATAAAAAAAAATCCCACTTGTGTCATTCGCTGTCGTTTTAATATGTATTATTCTGTCATTTAGCCTATGTGATTCATGCAAAACCAAAGAGTTTTTTCCTGCTGGTGGTGGAGGGAAATACATCCAAAATTGTAAAAAAATATTAATTTGATCAAATTAACCATGAGTTGTTGTTTTTTTAGCATGTAATCAGTTGTGCATTACATATTCATTAAAATGTCAGTATTTGTGAAAATGGTCAACACTAGGGAATCTGTGTCACAAAATATGCTTCCAGTAGCAGAGATAAGGAGCAGTTTAGCCTTATGGTTTAAATTCATTTGGTTCATAATTCAAAAGTATATAATTGGGTCAGAAGGCATTGCGAAAACAAATGCGATTTAAAAAAATAATAATTCTGCGGTTTGCCATACATGAAAATACAGGGCCATCACTGGCATTGAATTTAGCTGCAACTTTGTTAAATTTAATAAGGACCGGCTTTTGGTTTCCTACCTGATTTTAGTGGCCACCCACAGAAATTACACACTTAACATTAAATCGTTGCCCATTTTGTCATTATTTGAGTTTGAATTAAGATTACTCAATGAAACTTGCTTTAGAGCACATATGTACTCAACTACAATCCTGTCTTTTTTCAGTCATCAGTTTGTGGGAAGATTATGGAGCTTCTTGGTCAGAATAAGATCGACCACCATCAGAGGCAGGTGGCCATCCTCAGTCAGGATAGTTTCTACAGGGTACTGACCTCTGAACAGAAGGCCAAGGCTCTAAAAGGACAATTTAACTTTGACCACCCAGGTAAAAGAGTTTGAAAAGCTCATGTTTATGTTAACATCATTTATTTTCTATATAGATTTATTTTACTTGACCTGATTTATAGTTCATGTGTGCTTTTGCATTGCCAAATACCCCTGCCTATTGCAGTGTGTTATTGTGAGCAGAATAAAGCTCAGACCCTGACCGTTGATGCAGTCTGTATACTTTGGCAGCTCTCTCTCTCTCTTTCTGTGTGTGTGTGTGTGTGTCGGAGTGAGTGTTTGCTTGACTCAGCCACCCTCACACACACACTCATTCTGCAGCAGCACAAGTGGCTTATCACCTTTTTGCTTGTTCTTTATATCCCATTTCCTGTGGGTCAAGAAACTTTAGAACAAATTCTGTGTTGTCTGTCTGATCCTCTTTTACTCTGTCCCACAGATGCGTTTGATAATGAGTTGATAGTCAAAACCCTTTGTGATATCATGGAGGGAAGAACTGTCCAAATTCCTGTCTACGACTTTGTTACCCACTCAAGGTCAGTTCCGACCACATTTTGGATAACTTAAAGGGATAGTTTGCCAAAAAAATGAGAATTCTGCCATCATTTACTCACCATCATGTCGTTCCAAACCTTTAAGACTTTGGTTAATCTTCAAAACACAGACTAAATTAAATCAGTTCATCATATAAAGCAATTGTATTTCTTCAAGACTTTGATTAAACCACTTGATTGAGTTCATTTTACAACCTTTTGGAATCTTCTATGTTTTGGTTACCTGGATGTTTTTTAAAGGACGGACTGGAACCTCTCAGTTTTCATTAAAAATATCTCAATTTGTGTTTCGAAGATTAACTAAAGTCATATGGGTTTGGAACGACATGAGGTAAATGATGACAGTTTTAATACGATCCATTTAACTTATTATCATTGCATTGTTTCTATGTGTGGATTTTTTTTGTATTTATTTGAGTTTCAAACCACACACAAAAGCAGCGTGCAAGCAGCACATATTTATTTCGGTGCACATATGCAGCGGCTGCAGGAAAGTAGCAGAAACACAGTCCAGAATGTAACTGCTGTTGATTTGCTTGCATGCTACTTGAGCATAGTGTTTCAAACAGGCCTTATCTTGATTTGTGTTATGTAATCTGTTTGTTCAGGTATTTCCTGCATCCTGATACACTTGTTTTCCTTACCTTTTGCAGGAAAGAAGAGACAGTCACTGTTTATCCAGCAGATGTAGTTTTATTTGAAGGCATTCTTATGTTTTATTCGCAAGAAATCAGAGATCTGTTTCAAATGAAGCTGTTTGTGGATACGGATGCAGATACACGTCTGTCACGCAGAGGTGTGTGAGGACTCAACGATTATTCATAGTGTGGTAGTGATAGGACGATGTATTTCAGTGCAGTTTGATTCACTTCTTACGATTCTCTCTCTTACTCTTACTCTTATCTCATTGCCCTCTGCTCGCAGTCCTGAGAGACATCAGTGAGAGAGGCCGTGACCTAGAGCAAGTGCTAAGCCAATACATAACATTTGTTAAGCCGGCCTTCGAGGAGTTCTGTCTGCCAGTGAGTTTTACACTTTTCTGCCATATATGATCTGTGTGTGTGTGGTTTTGTATTTATTTATTTATTTATTATTTTATATAACATACACACTCACACACATTCATGTGATGGCAAAGCTAAATATTATTTAATATTATATAAAAAATACACACTCTCACACACACATTCCTGTTTTGGCGAAGCTGAATTTTCAACAGCCATTACTCCAGTCTTCATATGATCCTTTAGAAATCATTCTAATTTGCAGATTCAGTGATGAATAGAAATGAAAGAACAGCATTTATTTGAAATATAACTTTTTTGTAAAGTCTTAAATGTCTTTACTGTCACTTTTGAACTTGTGCATATTCTTACACTTCCAATATTATGAACAACACTGACACAATTTTGCTTATTTTTACAACACAAAATGTTTGTACTAAGTACTAAAACAGTTGTAAAACAACTGGACGTGGTTTTTGTTTTTCCATGTTAATTTCTCTGTTGTGCTGTTTGGTAAATATATTATAAATGGTCATTTTATTTTTTTATGCAAATGAAAATATTTATTTACAGTATATTGAATGTATATATAAGGACCATTTATTGACTCCATTTTTTTTTTCTTCAAACACTGTTATGCAGAAGCAGAGCCAATATTAAAGACCATTTACAATAGAAAATGTTTCTGGCTTTTTGTCTAGAAGTGGGTGGCGAAATATTTGCCCAATGGAAATGTTGTTGCTGATCATCATCTTGACTTGAGAATTTTTTTCTCAGGGCTTCTCTCTCTCTCTCTTTTTTTTTTTTACTTAATCTGTTTTTCTTTCAGACAAAAAAGTATGCTGATGTGATCATTCCAAGGGGAGCTGATAATCTGGGTGAGATTTTAAATGTGTTTATCCAAACTTTACCATGGAAGAGAGGAGACACAAATATTTTGATATGGAAATGTTTTGGAACAGTTAATGATATACATGTATTGTTTTGAAATTAGGAATGTTTTGAAGCAAGGCCACACTTCTAGTCTAGCAACGAAAAAAATAATAATAATTTGACACCGTTTTACTAAGCAATGACTTGCAAGGCAACTTTAATAGATGTTTGTACTTACATGTTTATGTCTCTCTGTCTCTCTCTCTAGTTGCCATAAATTTGATAGTGCAACACATTCAGGATATTCTGAATGGTGGTTTGACCAAACGCTTGAACGGATACCTCAATGGCCACAACACACCTCGTAAACGGCATCCCTCAGAGTCCAGCAGCAGGCCGCATTGACCAGCCCTCCATCAGGATGTCGGGAATGCAGGAGAGAATGAATATGTGAAGGATGGATGCAAGAGGAAAGAAGGATTGCTTGTGCATTCTGTTAATTAGCCAACACTTTATAAGACAAAAAGAATCATGAAAGATTTCAAGAATTTCAAAGACTGCCTTTTATTTCATTCTGCTTCCTCCTTTTTTTATTTTCTTTTTTTACTTTTGGACTGGCTACACTTGATGTTTTAGGAGTTAGAAAGATAAATAAAACTTCTAGTTCTGGGATTGCTAAAGGTCAAAATGGATATTTCCTCTATTTATTTAAAAAAAATTATTTTATTTTTTTTAACCTGTTTGTTGACTAAAAATGGGAATGCAGATAATTAAATATTACGTGACTCCATGGTAATGAGGATTGAACATATATTCTTTTTAATTATTATTTTTTATTAGAAAGGACTACATTTACAAATTTATTTAAATAACCTCTTCACTGAAAAATGCTTTAGAGGCTAAAAACAGTTGTTTTAAAATCCCTTCTTTTTGGTTGACAGTGATGGAATAAGTTTTTAGTATTCTGGCATTATTTATAAGATGTCCCTCTATGATCAGTGTTTCTTGCAGAAGGATAAACTTTTATCCCTCCATTTCACTTGAACAATTCAGGCAGTGTTGCTACATCACAACAGGCCTCTCAGGGCGTAGTTACTACAAATGAAAACAATAACTCACTTTTTGTCCTAAAAGGAAAGAGACAAGACTGTAATCTACATTAAAATTGAGTCTATACAGAAGACATCAGAGACCACACCTATAAAAAACTCTAAACTGGCTAATTAAACGGAACTAAATTTGTTGTACGTATTCATACTCCATTCTGAATTACAAACCTGGTACTTCTAGAATATTTACTAGATGCCAGATGATCCTCATTAAACATGGTCATGTACTTTAAAACGAAGCCCAGTGGTTGATTGTGCAGCATTGCTGTGGAGTGTTAGCATGAATAGTGATCTATTTGTTAAGAGATTTATGTTCATATACTATGCACTGTACCCTTGACTAATAATGCAATTTGACAGTTTATGACTCTCTTGTGCAAGGCATTTAGACAAATGGAGATGCTTACTTGAAATGAATTCTCAGAGTTTCTTCATCCCTTGCAATGTTTTTATTTATTTAAAAAAAAAAACATTATTTCACCTGTGTTGTGACTTCTTAGATGCCCAGTCTTTGACAAAACTCACCAAAGAGTTAATTTAGTGTTCTTTTACATTTCAAGCCATGTAATTTTCATACACAATATATATTTTCCTCTGTAGCTCAGTTTTCCTGCATCTTAGAGCCAGAGAGATGCCATTATAAGGCACTCTGAAATCATTCAGGGATGTGAAACTGAACAATCCAACCTTTAAACTTGACCCTTACTGTTAATGTACCCCATATATACATTCCTTTTGATCTTGAAACTTGAAACTTTCACTAAAAATTGGTTAATCATTGATATACGTATTGTTCTTATTTAACATTGTTTTTTATTTTGCTATATTTTATTTTCTGGTTGGCTTCATTCGCATTGCTGCTGTGATACAGGGTGACTCATTTACTATTCTTATGTAAAAATTCTAAATGATCACTTATTGAATGATGTGAATATTTATTTGATCGAGTATGATCATTTCGCAGATAATGCCATTTAATTGTCAGATTATTAAATTTAATCAGCGTCGTCATCATTCATATCTGAGCCAGATGCAAAAAAAAAAAAACATTTTGTGACTTGAATACTTATTTGGTTGTCAAAAGCATTCTTACCCCCAGGCTGTTTATTTGGCCAAAATTGCATAAATTATTATAAATCTTTTGTTGATGTCTGGTCCTTGGTTTTGTTTGGGTATTACATGTGTGATTCAATCAGTATGTTCGTAGATTAATTTGAAAATTCTTGAAAAGAACCCGTTTGAAACCACTGCAAACAAATTTTGTGCCAACATAAAGTTCATGTATGTGAAATTACAGACTGTTCATTTTATTTTCATGCCGTTACATTAGCTAAATATTGTAAATATTACTTTTCTAAACAACACTTTGTTACTAAAACATCTAAGCTGTCGAACAGAGATATCTATACCTCTCATCAAAAGGTTTTGATATATTAGCACAGATTTGAACACCAGCTTTTAAAATGCAGTATTTTTTTCCACACAATCACAGTTCAGTCGTGAATAAAATCATGATGTCATAACTGTTATCATCTCTATCTTACCAGCTTGCACACCCAGTGTGTAATCCTACTTGACAGAAAGTGATGCAAATATCGTATTGTTTTTCTGAAATTTGTGGGATTCCAAAGATTTCAACTGATGACATTGTTTAATGTGCAATCAATTAGTTTGGTTCCCACACTAATGTCTGTAATTATAGCAAATACTGTTTTTACCAGAATATGTTCCAACCTTTATGCATTTATGTTGATTTTAGAAAGAAATCCTAGTCTGGAACAGATTGTCTTGTTGCAAAGTGGGATGACTTCGGAGGGGATTTCAAAAGTATGGTGTTCTGCATGATGTATTATATGTTTAATTATTGTTGCCTTTGAGTTTTGGTGCTTGCAAAATGGGTGCAAAATGCAAAGAAAGCCAAAACTATTATCAAATCAGAAAAGGTTGCATGCTTGTGTTACTGGACCAAACAAACTACAGTTGCAAGGCTTTAAAACAGCATTTCTGTGACACTGCAATGGATATTAATAACACTTTATCTTGAAATGTTACTCTCCAATCTGTGGATTGGCTTTTTTTTTCTTTTTAAGCGTTTCTGTGGTTAAATAAATCCATGATAACTGTATCATCATGTACATATGTAAAGAATTGCAGAAATTTGTATAACAAAGTGATTGACAGCAAAGCTGCATTAAATAAAAGTTTTTGTACTCGTGTTCTTTGCCTCAGTTCAACACATGGTTACCTGAATGCTGTAATCACATTTGTTTACATCAGAAAAGAAGACTTTAAAGAGTAAATCCCTCTCTTTTAGGAACTGTATTGCAAGATGGACAGAATTACACAATGGTATAGATTAGCACAAAGATAACATGAAAGCATACAACAACGCAAAACAGGTTCAGGGAGGTCGCATGGTTTTTTTTTTCTTTCTTTTTTTTTATATATATAAATATGTATATATTAGTGCTTCACACTCCAGTCCAGTTGGTGGCGGTAAATGCACCAGAAGTTGGTTTGCCATCCGCCATAAAACGTTATTGATCCACTACGTTTCACTTCTGTTTCAGTTTTTACAACCATTTCTTACTATGTGTAAGTAAGTTGTTGTTTTTTAACATGTAAGTTTGGCAGTGTTATTTTGTCATTTTTATTTAATTTCTTTATTTTTAAAATGTAGGTAAGTAGTATTTATAAAGTTTTAGCTTTTAGTTTTGGATCTGTTTTTAGTTGTTTTAATACTACAATTGATTGCTTCTGTTGTCCTCATTTGTAAGTCGCTTTGGATAAAAGCGTCTGATAAATGACTAAAAAAAATAAGAAATAAAAAAATAAATATTAGAAGAAGAAGAAGGGAGGTCGCGTTCGGCCTACTTGCAGCATCATCATTGTGCGACCGGTGTTGTCTGACGTCACACCGCGACCTGCAGTACGCATTCGATTCCATATTGGTCGTTCCTCAAGCCATTTATTGAAGGAAGAGTGTCCGTGCTGTAATTTAGGTATATAGTACCTTACTTAAATACTGTGCACAGATATGTCCTCGAGTGACTTTTATTTGAGGTACTATGTGGGCCATAAAGGTAAATTCGGCCACGAATTTCTGGAGTTTGAATTCAGACCAGACGGTAAGTCAGGCGCCAACTTAGCTTGCTAATATGCTAACAGTCTTTCTATTGAAATCTGTGCTTGCTTTTTTACTAGGCCGAAAACGTTTTTCTAAAGCTGTTTAAACTTTTATTACTGGTTAATTTGTGTAGTAACAGGAAAGTAGAGGGGCTGTTTGTGTAGAAAAGCAAATCAACATGTTAGCTAACATTTGAGAAAACTGCCAGTTTACCTTGATAAATTATGTTTCTGCTAGGAATTTGTTGGTTTTATGATATAATATTTCGGTGACGGTTAAATATTCTCATAAGAAGCTTTCGTATAATATATGCATTTATATTACAGTATATGATATGCATTTTGTTTTCATCCAGGCAAACTGAGATATGCAAACAACAGTAACTACAAGAACGACGTCATGATCCGAAAAGAGGTAAAGTCAGCTGCGTGATGACGTCACATACACCCAACGTTAGGTCATTTTCGTTGAAGAGTAGGCTTTGTAGCTCATGAGATATTTTTCCCCTCTTTCAGGCATATGTTCATAAAAGCGTGATGGAAGAGTTGAAGAGAATCATTGACGACAGTGAGATCACAAAAGAAGACGATGCCTTGTGGCCTCCTCCAGACAGAGTCGGACGACAGGTTTGTAGGAAGATATATTTTTGCTTTTTAAAAAAAAAATTTTTTATTTTACACTTGCTCTGGTCTCCATGTGTGGTGTAATACTCCGCATCCTAATTGCTCTTCTTTGTGCTTTATAGGAACTGGAGATTGTCATCGGTGATGAACACATTTCATTCACAACTTCCAAAATTGGATCTTTAATTGATGTCAACCAGTCCAAGTAAGCATATTTCATAGATGGATATTTTTTTTTAGTTCATAAACAATCTCCTCTTGTTCTCTCTGCTTTACTGCATTTTCACTTCTGCACTATCGTGTCAATCTTGAAACCTGGCATTGCAGTAAAACTAGCTTTATTGACTTTTGTATGATAAATTGCTTGTGATGCATCTTATTTGCAAATCACTTAAGATAAAAAAACATCTGCTAAATGATTTACTGTAATGTAGTTCTTTTCTGCTTCATTTGTTCTGTATTGTCATGCAATCTATTGTTTTCCCTTTTCTACTCTCAAGCAATGCAGCACTCTGCAGTTTCACTGTTTGTTCTCTGTATTATAAGACTGGTAATATTTGTGATCTTGATCATCAGGGACCCAGAAGGACTCAGAGTTTTCTACTACCTGGTCCAGGATCTCAAATGCCTTGTATTCAGTCTCATCGGCCTCCACTTCAAAATCAAGCCCATCTAACTACCCAGTTGCTTTTATTCTGGATGA